AGAGACGGGGCCTGGTCAAGGGCATAGTTAAGATACGATTGAGGATCAACAATAATATCAGCAGCTTGTCGACAATGAAAATCAGAGAAATCACCAATAACAGGAGTTTAATTTCCAACAAGCTCTGATAGAGGGAACCTGGCAGCATCAAATGGTACTTGATATCAATCAAGATATTGAAGTAATATATTACATGGAAGAATAAATGGGAAGAAACAAGAGGAGGAAGTGAAAAGTTGAACAAATATTTAAAGAGAAGGAACTTAGGTTTACGAGCAAGGGAGGCATCAATTGGGTCTCATATCGTGAAAGGGTTCTACGTCCTAAACTCTACCCGTGGATGAAATGGATAAAAGAAAAATCACATGCTCCACACCTCTATCTTGTAGAGGATAATGCGCCATATCATCAAACTGCGCGGATGATTGACAAGGAGGAATGACAAACTCAGGGTATTGTAACTCTCGACTCGCCTTCTAAATCTCTGGATTTAAATCAGATTGAATGAATTTGGGACTATGAGAAAGACGAGGTATCAACACGGAAGTTTATAGGTGGAGGAGGTAGGGCAGCAGTAGAGGATGTCAAAAATGGACTTGTAGGAACTTGGGAAGCCCTTCCTCAGGCTCTGATTGATCGGGAATGCTGGGCATTTCATGAGAAGCTTCAAAGAGTTATTCTTTATGCTGGAAATAATAACTTTAATGGGTAGGTTTGGGGATATTGGGGGAGATACTGAGGTATATGGAAGCGAGGCAAATTGTATTGAGAAACATTGCTCTCTCTATATAGTACATGATTATCAATTGTGTTGCCTGACATGCATTTGCTATTGGTCTGGCTATCACTACTCTCTTTAGGTGTCCAACTTCAACTCGGCCACATGAGTATAGTGTAAACAAAATATCAAAACAGATAACAAGTAACAAAGTAAATCTCTTTATCTAGTGTTGCCATTCAGCCTTGCTGCCCTTGTTTTTAGAAAAATACCTGAAAAACGTATTCAGCAAATACAGACTATAGTAACTAAACTTGTAAGAAACTATCTGTTACAAACCAGTAGAGGAATAAGGTTTTCATATAACTTGTAGTTATAAGTTATAGGAGTTTATTATTTTGTAATAATTTATAATTATGAGTCAAATTATGACATTATAGCTTTTGCGAGTAACTCACAAGTATGAATCATGATTTTCTGTAATAATCCTACTTCTTGTATGTTTAAGTTAACTTGTTAACTGGTAATGACCTTACCTTTCTTTATTCCAATACTTTGATAGCTCTAAGACCTCTTGTCTACATTACTGCTTAGGATAATATCTATTGATATATTGTCTTAGTTTTGCTTAACAACTAAGTGAGGCCTCTTTTTCATATATATTTGTAGGAGAGGTTTGCATGCAAATAAGAGTAGAAATTCAACTGATAGTATAGGAAAGAACTTAAGTGGTTACATGAGGAGTTTACTCAAGAGGTCCCTGGATCCACCTTATAACAACATCATACCTAATTCTAACTCTGATGTGACTCATACATCTGCATCACCATATCCTATAACTCACAGATGTGAGTCATGTAAAATCTCTCAGCTGACTCCTATTCTTGCCTTCAGGATAACAGCACATGATCCATTCGGCTGATAGCTGTC